GTTCTTTTCCGTTTGAGAATAAAAGTAAGATAAACGAAAACCATGATACTATCAATAATATTGCTTATACCTCCAAAGGATTTGAAATATATTCAATTAAATATACCATCTCGTTTGGCGTTAATGTGCTTTAAGTGTCACATCTATTGTAGGAGTTTTTTGTTTCTTCTATGCATTATTTCTTACATAAACTATGGTACAAATGACTGTATTGTATTTTTTTGAGATGCTACAAAAAAAAGAATATTTTCATTTGCTGGCCGGATAAATCTGGAAGTCACTGTTTATAGTAGATTGCTCTTCAAATCAAATGTGATGCATAATTAGAGTTGCATTCTAGCATTTTTAATTTCATTTCTCATCATCAAATTGATTGCAGCAATTTTGTATCGAACTGGAACATAGACGTCGTGGACATATGTTTGACGATGTGTGATGAAACCAAGACGATTGATCAATTCTAACTCGATACCAAACTTTTCCTGTTGCTCAATCGATGACTGATTCTTTGTATACAAGGGCGTAGTAGCAATGCGTCGAGTCGCATGAACATTCGACATATGACTTATTTGCCATTGAACAACAAACATACCTTTTCTGCAATCTATGCACTCACTTTGCGTCATGTTCGAAAAATTCATATGTATAGAGTAGCCCTCTTATTGAGGTTGTTCTCAACTACGATTGGTGTGCAGAATGTGATAGAACTTAGTAAGAAATATGCATTGTTTGTACAGCAGTGGACAATAGTACGAAGTCGTTGGGGAAATTGTTCCCGTTTATGGAGAAATGCTTCACCCCACATAAAGTCATGCATAACAAGGAGAAATGGAAAGAAAGAAAAAAAAATAATATATATAATCTATTATATGATATTGTGCATATACTTGAATTTAGAGAGAAATGGTTTTTCTTTCAGAGGGAAATGGTTCAACAAGGAGAAATGGAAAGAAAGAAAAAAATATATATACACATATAATCTATTATATGGAAAAATCAAGAAAACCTAACTCTATCTCTATTAGATGAAAACAAAAATCATTATTTCATTAGAACGACATAAAATTAAAGGGAAAACACTTCTATCTCTACTAGATCCGAAAAATGATTTTTTTCATTAAGATGGAATGAAAAATAATGAGAAACTAACTATATCTCCACTAGATGAAAAAAAAAGATTTTTCTGATTAAAATGCAACAGAACTAGAGGAATCTTAACTCAATCTTTACAATATAACAAATGATTATTTTTCTTAAGATGGAAAATAACGTAAGAAAAACTAACTCATTTCACCAACTATTTTAACTATTTCATATGGAAAAAATCCATATCTGCTAGAAAATCTTATACAAGAGGCGAAATAAAATAATCGACTTCTCTTTGAATAAAACCATTTCTCTTTATACATAGAGAAATGGATGAAGTATTTCTCCTTGTATTTTAACCATATCTGCTGGTAAAAATCCATATCTGCTAGAAAATTCTATACAAGAGAGAAAATAAAATAATCGATTCCTCTTTGAATAAATCCATTTCACTTTATACATAGAGAAATGGATGAACCATTTCTCCTGGTATTTTAACCATATCCGCTCGAATAAATCCATATCTGCTAGAAAATTCTATATAAGAGAGAAAATAAAATAATCGATTTCCCTTTGAATAAATCCATTTCTCTTTATACATAGAGAAATGGATGAAGCATTTCTCTTTGTATTTTAA